AAACAATTTTTAAATCATTTATTTTATTTAAAATGATCCAAAAATGTTAATCCACAGCAATACGTCACCTAATAACATATTCCATATTTGTGCATTAGTATAATTTATGAAGAGCAAAATCAAATTATTTTCCAAGATTGTATCAAACACCAGAAAGTATTGTCAATTAAGTTTTTAGGTTTTTCTAATACAAATAATTTTGTTATAGAAATATTTTACTAAAATTTATTCACTAAATATTTAAACTATATATGACATCAATTAGGTAAAATATGAAACATCTCTTCATTTCTTGTTTTAAATATGTTATTACATACTGGATGAATATTGAATAACGTTTAAAATAATAAAACAAAATTATCCATATTCCTGTTACCTAAAAACTATGTTCACATTTTGGCGTATTTCCTCCCAGTATTTTGTGTGTGTGTATGCATGCACATACATGTTTTGCAGTATTTTGGGAATCATGTTATATTTAATTTGGTATACAGGTGTTTTTCTCCTACTTGGTGCTAACATGAACCTTCTTCTAGGTTATTAAAAACTTTCATAAATGTTATTTTTAATGTGGCCATAACAATAGTTAACTGAATGTATGTACCCAAATTTACACATTAGATACACTAACATTTTTCCTTAATCTGTGTGCATTAAATGTATCTTATGGTTTAGGGTAATTTCCTTAAGAGATAGTTCTAAGAAACAAATGCACCATTATTTTAAGAAGAATCTTAGCAGACACCAACAAATGTGATCAACAAAAGACCAAAATTCTCAATAGCTTAATATACTTATAATTGTTTCTCATGTACACCACTCCTTAGGATAGCATGAGAGGGTGAAAAATATCCTTCAATAATTTTCCTTGAACGCATTTTATTTTTGTCTTCCCAAAGTACATAGCAGTATCAAAGGGGCCTTGCCCTTTTCAAATGAGGGCAAACTTTACACTAGAAGAGGAACTAGTTGGGATAGAAGGAAGGGATGTATTTATCCCTCTGGTGTCAAGATCCTGT